TCATTTACATTAAGTTGCAACCTCAAACAACTATCAGTCTTTAACAACTGTAAACTCATCCAAAACAGAAGTGAATCCATCTGAGTAGGGCAAATTAACACAACCAAGCCAAAAAGATTCTATGTGGCATGCATGAATGAATCAGTTAAATGTGGCATTTTCCACCATTATGCTGTACGGTTGGCTGGGAGACTGTGTGGGCATCCAGTCAGTGCAGAGGCTGGGAACCATGCCTTCACTCATAAATACCCACTCCACACAGCCTGCTGCGTCCTCTCGGCTAATCAGAGAGGTGAAAAGAGCGGCATGACATCATCGGGACTTTTGTTCTCATGGCAACAATGGAGGCAATGTTTCATTAATACAGTAGCCGTGGCGTTCATATGCAAATGAGCGTCTGTGTAACGTCCAGCAGGTGGAAATGGGAGGGAGAGCTATATTCTGCACTCGTCTAATGATAGCTAAGGACATGTAGGACACACAAGGTCCAATTTAGTCTCTTAGCACAGAAATCAATTTCAGTGCAGAGCGGAGGGAAAAATAACTCTGCAGTCTTGATGAGGCCACACAGCCGCGGGGCGAACCGAACGAGGCACAGACAGATGAAGGTGACTGGGTTTTTCCCTCTCCATCGTTCTCTCGAATAGGTGGTTTTGAGGAACAGGAGTTGAATGCATAAACACTACTGTAGAGAGAGTGTTTAAAGATGCATTAAAGGAGAAATGAGCCTTTCCCTTTCACCCACTCCAGATCAGACAAAGCCTCAGGAGCCGGAGGAGGGGGAAAGAGAGAGAGACGAGACAGAAATATAGAGGAGGGGTGAATGGCAGACATGTTTCCTCTTCCACAAACCCCATGCCGGGAACTGAAAAATGCCAGAATGCAAACAGAATATAACCAAACAGAACAGAATAGAATTATTTTCATGTCATGGCTAATAACGAATAAATGTTAGATATTACAATTCCATAATTTTGCACGGATTAATTAAAAAATAAACTTAAAATCAATCATTAGGTATCATAACAGTACATTATGAAATATATTCATTTTGAGATTTGCTAAATACATTTAACAGCGTTATTCAATTATTTACCGGTATGTCTTTATTTTAAGATTTATTAGTTACACTTTACAATAAGGCTCTATTAGTTAACACTCACAATGAAAAATACTAAAGCATTTATTAATCTTAGTTAATGTTAATTAACTAATGTTAAGGTGCGCCTTCCATGCCGGAGACGGCGTTCCATTAGCTTCACCAAAACTCTATTGAAATTACTTGAGTCTCCTGCGCATTTTTTGTTATAAACAGTTACTACTTGTGTAGATTGTTCCTAAACGTCCACTTATTATGGCTTGAGATGAGTCCTGCTGAATGTAATGCCAGAACAAAAAGCTACACAATCGAGCAGCGAGTCAGCTGAGCTGTCATGCAGCATCACATGAACGCCTCCACACGTGACCAGCTGAAGAGAGAGAGAGAGGGAGGGAGAGTGAGACAGCAGACCACAGACCACACCCACTCCAGTCCACTCCATCGAAAATTTAAGATAATATTTCACATCTCGCAGCAAAACACGATCAGTGCGATTTATATGGATTTGGGGGAGAACGTTTGTTCCCTTTCATCAGTGTATAAATCTGCAACAGACATGATATACTCAGATACGCACTCCCGCTGCATAGCACCAGGCAGCACATCACTGTGACGTTGAATGCTGTGTGTGCGTTATGTCAGTGAATTAGACAATATGTGAGTGTTATGCAATGCAGAGCGTTTGTTGCTTGCTCCACCCCATCTGCAGCTGAGAGCTGTTTTTCAGCGAGTCTGCAAAGTGCCACTCACTACATCAAGCAAAACAAGACGTCCTTTAGCTCTAAACAGCGAGAATGGACTCGGGAATGGGATCCATTACTGCAGAGCTCTTCACAAGCACTAAGCTTAATCCCTCTCAAGCATGATACAGAATGTCTGAAAGTCCTATAGATTTGCTTGAGAACCATTATAAGAGGCTCTGTCGAGTGCTTAATGGTTTCATATGCAAGAGACCAACACCCAGTAAAGCATGTTGTGTCAGTCCCATCTGCTTTTATTATTAACAAGTTTTATCTAAGGAAATTAATAGTATTTTTTAAAATATGCACCAATGCGCCAACATTAAAGTGCTGCCGATACGATAAGCCAATAAGCACTTTCATGCTAGGGCCGATAAACAAATGACCAAGACTAAAATGATATACTTTTTTGTCTAAATAAATAACTGAAAAAAAACACAACATTATAATGTACAGTATGAAAATGTTGTATTCTTTTTGAGATTTACAAAAGATTAGGGTTAGGGTTATTAGAGTTTTTAAAGATTAACTTTAAGTGAGTGTTAGATGGCGGCGAAGGCAATTTGCACGTAACAATATAGGGAATGACAGTGCACAATTAAAATATCCAATATGGATTATATCAATAAATGAAAAGATGGCTAATATTGGGTGATAAACGGTATGGGACCGATATATATTGTGCATCCCTAATATGAGATGAAGACTCATATTTATAGTCAGAAGTCATATCAGGCTAATTAAAGCTGTTTTATTTTAGGCTACAAGGAACCAGTTTTTACATGGGGGCTGCCAGATTGAGACATACAAAAAATTACATTTACCTTTTTTTGTGACACATCTACTGTCGATTACCAAATAAGTTTTTGCCTCAATTTGTAAAAACTATGGAAGCCCACTGGAAGCCCATGCTTTCGTAAATCATAAAAAGTCAGAATTATGACATAATTGAGATAGAAAGTCAACAAACTAAACTATGAGATAAAATATCAAAATGTTCTCAATAAGTCAGAATTGTGAGACAAGAATCATGACAAAACATTTCAACTTTGTCATAATTATGATTTGCCAAAGCATCATTTTGTGGTGGAAATTAGCTTCCATAAAAACAGACAAAAACTTCAATTGTTTAGACTCCTATTCCTATCTTTTAAATACTGTCAGTATAACTTATTTTGTATTTAATATAATCATGTATTTAGTATAAATATTCCTCCAAGATCACAAGATTCCTTTAAATAGCCACACCATATACCTCCAGTTTTGAAACAATCCCCATGATGCAGTTCACAGTAACCCCATTAACAGTTAAGTGCTGAACTCGACAGCTTCAGTCTCTCAACTGAATACACTGTTGTTTGGCATAGAGACTGAAGGGCAGGCTCTTCACTCTTGGATGGGCTCTGCCTCTGTCACTGCAGGAGGGACAACAGTCTAGATTTATTATTCAAGATAATTGAGCTCGTATGAAAGCCGATGCCGACCTAAATTCATTTGACTGGTTAAAATTTAAATGGCCTCTACCATTGCCAGCCTGTGACCACAATAGGCCGAGAGCAAAGGCAAAGCAGCCAATCTTTACTGGCCATTGAATGAACGAGCTGGAAAATTGGTTGCGTCAAGCTGTTTGCGTACAATAGCGCCTGCCATCTTGCTCGAAAGATTTGGGCATTCTGCCAATTGTACAGTTGTCCAGTATTGTATTACATCATGCACTAGTTCTGTGTATCTTCATTATTTTTTTTTCCATTTGAAAATCCAAGTGTCTTTTTATTGTTCAAACTATTTCAGCTTGACAGAAGTCTCTAAAACTGTTTTACTCTAATTAAAGGGGTGATGAACTGAGAAATCAAATTTTCCTTGAGCTTTTGACATCTAAGAGGTCATCATATTATAAGAATATCCTGTAAGTTTCAGAACTGAAAACGTCCTTGTTAGTCCAATAAAAGCTTTTATTGACACCAGCCTCAGCAAACGACTCGTTTTTCAAAGTGGGGAACTATGACGTCAAAGAGGATAAAACACCACCCCCGCAGAAGAAGATCAACGCCTACTTCAACACGGCCGGTTTAGCTTCGCGCATTACACGCATAGCTAAATAACATAAAAAAACTACCTCGGATTGGATTGGATTGGATTGGATTAGCCTTTATTGTCTCCTAATGGAGAAATTCATCTTTGGCCTTCAGGAAACAGATGCAACACAGTATACATTATACATAACACATAACACACAAACATGAATTACAGATTATATTAATGTTAAAAATTAATGTCACACCCGACATGATTAAACATAATTAATGTCACACTTAAATTCTAACCCACACACCCTAGTTGATCGTTCAGTATTTTAAGTATACCTCGTGATGACAAACCGAATCAAGATACTGAGCAATAAATATTACGCAGTGCCTGGTTGTGGAAGACAGTCGCTGCATAAGCTTCCTCTGGATTCCAATAGGACGGCATGGATAAACTTTATTTTTAATGATGTTCCAGCCGATGAGGGTAAAACATTGTCCGTCTGTTTGCTTCATTTCACTGAGGATTGTTTTGTAAACAAGACTGGATTTGCAGACCGATTAAGAGTAAAGAACGGTTCTGTGCCGTCTATATTGGATCTGACAGGAATGGTGCAACACACGGACTCTGGGTCGAATCATTCCGGTTGCCATTTTACAACAATGGACGTTTTAAAAACAATTTCCCCCAAGAGCACCGACGGGTGAGTTGAAACTCATTATAATATGCAAAACTGTTATCCACTCACAGCAGTGGGCGTTTACTCCCAGGTCTTCAGTGCGAGAAAAACCGAGCATTTTTCAGGTAGGCTCACAACTTAGGTACAAAATAGCCTATTACTTATTAATTTTTATGTTTTGAATGCAAAAACCAACCGAACGTCATAAGTTGACCTCAGACAACAATATAATAAAATTTAAAAAGCCAGTTTATGACCCCTTTAATGCGACAAATGTGATATGAATGAGCTTTCTAGTGCAACTCTTCAACCACTTTACAAGACACAATGCTCATTGGTTCAAAAACTATCTGAGTAGTGCTGTTGGATTGGACAGAAGAGAACAAATGGCTGCTGATTGGTCAATGTAAGTGTCAGTCAGGGGTGTTTAAAGGCAGATGATCTGCAATAGATGTACCTGGCTGGCTGGGATGTGTCAGGCGCAAGCAAGGAAAACAGCCAAGCTGAGGAATCCTGTTGACCTTCAGCTCAATGTCACTGCACTCGTGGGCTTTCTGGAGAAACAGGCAAAACAGGAATTAAACCTGACTATTGAAGGTCATATGCAATGGATGATGTGCTATGTTGACTTATCATGGGGAGTTCTGTGAATTTACTGGTAGCCTGCATGCAAAACATAATGCAAAACAGTCTTTGATAAAACCTCACCTTCAACATTCCAGAAATTCTCATTAAGTTACTCTTAAAATTAAATTAAGATTATAAAATATTTTTATTTTTATATATACAACATAAAAAACCTCCACATTGCATGAAAAAGTCAAATCATACCTATAATATACTCTTCAAAAGATTTGTGAATGTTTATGAAAGAAGTATCTTAAGTTCACCAACTTAGCTGCATTTATTTGATGAAACATACAGTAAAAACAGTAATCAAATTAAAATGACTAAGTCTATAACAGCTGTTTTATATTTAAATATACGTATTTTAATATGTAATGTATTCCTTTGTAGGCAAAGCTGAATTTCCAGCATCATTACTCCAGTCTTCAGGGTCACAAGATCCTTCAGAAATCATTCTAATGATGATTTGCTGCTCAAGAAACATTTCTTATTTTTTATCAATGTTGAAAACAGTTGTGCTGCTTAATATTTTAGCAGAAAACTTGATACTTTTTTGCAGGATTCTTTGATGAAAAGAAAGTTCATAACAGCATTTATTTGAAAAATAAATATTTTGTAATAGTGTAAATGTCTTTAATTTGTCCTAAAATGTTAAATTTGTTTTTAAAAAGTCTTACCAACCCCACACTTTTGAATGGAAGTACATTTAAGCTAAGCATAAATGTGCGGTTATATTAATATTCACCTCCAAGAGTTTTTGAATATAAAATAGATTTGAATACATTTGAATAATTTTTAGCTTCATGTCTGCCATCACTAAATAGTGCTGATCTGGCCTCTCCACAGTGCTTCAAAGAGGTGACCGAGGAGAAGGGGAGAAAGAAACGATTAAATGCTTTCAAGAGCTATGCAAATTAGACGTGATTAGAGAGAATGTGTGATTTTGACAGCTCCCTGTCAGGAGGGCTTGACAGACAACATAACATAATACGAGAAAGGACTTCATTATTCTACTTGTGCTTTGTGAGCTTCTTTCATATGCATGACGTGCTGCTATAGCTGCTCCTTTGTCCTGCTTCAGTATACACTAAGTGTTGTTTTCATCCAACAATATTCTGCCCAAGGCATTGTACCTTATAAACAAGGAAGCAAACGGCAAAATATTCTGACGTAGACTCTCTATGACATCAACACTCTCAGCATTTGTCTCACCCTGTCAAAGTGTGATCGCTGCACACTACTTTGCAGTCTCTGAACCGGGGAGGAAAAACAACAGTCCACAGGGTTGAGGGGGAAAACACTGCCACCATGAATACTTATCAGATGCTGCCTTGGGCTTCAATCTGAGACCATTTTTCTTTCTCAAATCAAACATTTTTGTTTTGTAAAAGAGTTTAAATGTACAAAAGAATATTTCAAAGAGAAAACTGCCTTCTCTTGCCAGCATGCCAGTCGCTATGCTAATGCTAAAGCTAGTTCAAATCATTAAATGTGTAAATGTTTTGGCCTAGCTGGCCTACCTTCAGTGAGGCAGTCAATCACACAAAAGGGGTGCGGTCACATGGTCAGCAAGACAGAAACGTATGTGATTTCTGATAAAGCAAGAGGTATAGACAGCACGAACAGCACTGAACTACAGTAGAAGTCATGAACTGTTACTGAGGAGATGGCATTATCTTCTCAGCATGAATGTCTCTGCATGAGCCCACGGTTAAGCTCATAGGTGTGCTTACTGTACACAGAAGACTACAGTTAACTCTAGCAAAACATAACTCACAAAGGGAACAAGCTCACAGTTACAGGACCAGTATATAATTTCCTTCATACCAGGTGACCCCTTAAAATCCGGGAAACCCTGCAAGCTCTCATAAGTAATATATAGCGTAGAGAAGTAAGGTCTGTCTAAAACAAGCAGCAAATGTCTAAATATCTGTAGTATATTAATGTAATCCTTCCACAATATGCCAGCTATAGCGGCGATAACATAGGCTACCGTTGAAATGTTTGGGGTGGGTACGATTTATTTATGTTTTTTAAAAAGGTCTCTGATAATCACGGCTAAATTATTCTATGAAAAATACATTCAAATTGTAAAATATTATCATAATTGTAATATATTTTAAAATGTAATTTATTCCTGTGATGGCAAAGCTGCAATTTCAGCATCATTACTTCAGTCGGCAGTGTCACATGATCCTTCAGAATTCATGCTGATTTGGTGCATAAAAAACGTATTCTTCTTATTATTATTATGTCAATGCTATGTGCACTAAATATATACAATACCAAAAGTAAACAGGCTTGTTTGCGCCACAAATGGCCTTTCGTAATACTAATGAATGCACTCACTTGACAAGTGATGACAGAGATACTACTGCCATATATTTGGACACCAGAAAGTACATAATATTGTATTGTGTTACTGAAAGATTTGATTGAGGGTTTAGTTACACTGAAATCTGAAGCACGGCAAATTGATGACTTTGTTTAGAGACTAAAGCATTTTATTATTTCATATTTATGTAAAAAAAAAAAGATAATGCCATAAATGTATCATGCAACACCTACATTTAATTGTTTAATTGAGACAGAAAAAAACAAGTGCTTGCATTAACAAAGCTTCACAGTGCAATATACAGGATAAGAACATTATTAAAACCAGTAATAAATGCTTACCAAAATTAATTTCGTGGGAAAACAAAACCACATCCACACAACATCAAGGTGATGCTGCATTAGCGTGATATTTAGAGAGCTAAGCAAACATGAACAGACAGATTTCTTTCTTTAAAACAGTGTGGAATAAATTATCCGTCCAGAACAAAACAAAACATAGGAGAGACTTGATGAAAATTGCATGTGAACGAATTCCACATTGTTTAATTTTGTTGTCAATCATGACAAGGAGAACCGTCAAGGAAAAACATCATGTGATCAATGTAAGCAAATAGTGGATGTTGTGGAGGTGATGCGACGCCCTGTCCAATAGAATGAATGGACTCAAATAGCGTCCAATCAGAGGAGAGCTTGAGCTTGATATAAAAACCTCACAAAGCCGATTATTTCTGGACACCATTATCAGTCTTTGTGTGGGTTCTGGTGGACTTTAGGAAGGATTAATTCCGCTTTCCCAAAGAAAATCAGTATAAGGTATGGTTTTTGTTTAAAATCGTTAAAACAAGCCTTTATTGTTCTAATAATTAGAAGTTGTGATGTGATAACGGTGCCAAGTCAATTTACAAAAACAAATATTTGTGCGCTATAATAATAATTTAAGTATAACCAGGAATGCATCAATATCAAGACCTAAACGCACATTCAAGCTCTGTTGGCAATTTGCAATGCGCTGTTGATATTTACCGAAATGATTTAAATGTGTAGAAAGCCCAGTAATGTCAATACAAAGGCATTTAAAAGCTTTAAATGTGTTGGTCAAGAGAGCACGGATATGTGCATGACATGGTGCTTTTGTCCCAAACATCAGCAACGACCTTGCAGTCATGCAGCCTCCTTTTGCAAGGTCCAAAGACCTTGCAGAAAGGTCCAAGTCGTTGCGCATTACGCATTCGTATGCTTCAAATAATAATAACTGTTTCCCATACAAGACTTTCGTAATGCATGTTAGGCATTACATAACATTCAAAAATCGTATGCATTTGAACGCATTTTATAATGAGGCGTCAATTATTGGACGCGCACTCGACATTCCATCATATTTAGGCTACTCCCCGCGTGACATGACACATCATCACCGAACACAATTATCGTCATACCACGACCGTTTATTGCTGTAACTGTTCGAGCGAATATAAACAAATTATCGTGTTTGAGAAAATGCGCTTTGATGGTGTTACGTCATAAATAATGCAGCTGAGGGACTGGGCTTTGTTCTCGTTTTTTTTAATCGCCTTTAACATCCTTGTTTCCAAATATTTGCACCAGGTAGACGCAACAATGCCTTTCGGTAACACTCACAATCAGCTGAAGATGAACTACTCCGCCGAGCAGGAGTATCCCGACCTCAGTAAGCACAATAACCACATGGCGAAGGTGCTGACGCCCGACATGTACGCAAATCTTCGGGACAAACAAACCCCCAGCGGATTTACTCTGGATGACGTCATTCAAACCGGAGTTGACAACCCAGGTAAATGGCCTATCTTGAAAATGGGAAATTTCTACCGGTGCTCCGGTGTAGGCTATGGTGGTGCTCATGTTAAAGTATTTATGACTCGATGTCAATTTCCCTCAAAATGCACTTCAATTTAGTTTATCTATCCCTGTTACTGGAAGAAGTCACCAATGTTTTTGATGACTCATTCTGCACTACACTATTTTTTTCTCCAATCAAATGTTCTCTAGTATGGGCATGCATGGCCTTCCCCAATACTGGCTGGAACCAATTAGTAAGTTTTTGTTTTAATTTCCATATAGTATACTAATAAATAAGTCTCTAAGTGTATGGACTCAATAGTACATAACTAGGAGTGGAAAGTACCAATTATTTAAATGAATATCTTGACAGATTTCTCATACTTCAGCAAAATTTAAATGGCTGCAGTACAGGCTTACCATCGTAAGCTCTTTTATTTATTTATTTTAAGGATGAAATGGTTTCGGTATTGAGCAAGATAAAGCAAATTGGCTTATAATAATTATTTGGTGGATCCCTAACCACTTTGTTATAAATGATATATCCTCATGTGATAATAATCTAGCTTATGAATAAGACCTCACCAATGATCGTAGTCCATTAAGATCACAAAACATTTTGCACAAATGGCATTAGTAACTTAATTTTTATTGTTGTAGTCTGATCATTTGTCATATTGGTACAAAAACGACCTTGAATATTTCTGAATATCTGTACTTTTGAGTAACCAGGACTCCGTGGAAGCCTCCTCGGGCAGCCTCATATTTAAGTGCTTTTACAAAGCATACATTGGCCTTTTGTTGTTGTGGTGGTGGGGCACTGACCCTGATAAACCCATTCAAAGCATTCTTGGGCCTGGAATGTCCAAAATAAATGGTGAACCTGTTGCATGCAAACATAATTTGCATCCTTTGAATAGTGCTGCTTGCTGTTGTAATTCTGGAGGCTAGTGCATGTTCTACACCTCAGTATAAGCGTTTTCGTGCATTTGACTCATAATTGACAAGGTTATATGTGAAGTCCAACAAAGGAAGGGTTGTTTAATCTCAGGATTGCTGTAAGGCCAACCGTGCGATAACAAACATGAGGTGAGGCTATAGTAAGCTGTCGCCCAATCGGTTTGCAGTCAATGTTAAAGAAAAGTCCAAAACATTCCACAACAAATGAAAGCCTGGGATTTGTCTGACTGCTGATCTGTTGTGTTCCAGGGCATCCTTTCATCATGACGGTGGGCTGCGTTGCTGGAGACGAGGAGACGTATGAGGTGTTCAAAGATCTTCTGGATCCCATCATTGAGGACCGTCATGGTGGATATAAACCCACAGACAAACACAAGACTGACCTGAACCCAGACAACCTCCAGGTACTCTGCGTCTCTCCGTCTGGTGCGTCTAATTGGTTTTAACGTTTCAAAATAGTCTGCTGCTAATTTTAGTCGTGTTTGCAATAGGGTGGAGACGACCTTGACCCCAACTACGTTCTGAGCTCCAGAGTGCGAACCGGCAGGAGCATCCGTGGTTTCTGCCTCCCTCCTCACTGCAGCCGCGGGGAGAGACGCGGCATCGAGAGTTTGTCCGTCGAGGGTGAGCTCCTGTCCGTCTGTTTACGATTGGTCGCTCAAGAGGAGTGGGCGGAAACGTAATTGATTCAAGCATGCACTCTAATTTTTTTTTTTTTCACAGCTTTGGGAGTCCTTGATGGCGATCTTAAAGGAAAGTATTATGCCCTCAAGGACATGACGGACGAGGAGCAGCAGCAGCTGATTGATGACCACTTCCTGTTTGATAAGCCCGTGTCCCCACTGCTGCTGGCCTCTGGGATGGCCCGTGACTGGCCCGATGGCAGAGGGATCTGGTGAGCGAACAGGATTTTGTGTCATTTGCTTCTCTCAATTTTTGGATTCATGGATGTGGATATTTTATAGTTTATTAATTATTTTACATTACAAAATGGATTCATTTAGGTGCCAGCTTAACTAAAGATGCATCTATTATTATTATTATTATTTTGGTTATTTGGTTTATCATTTTATAAAAAAAAAAATAAGTGAAGTTGTTTTTTTTTGTTTTTTTTCCCAAAAAAAATTAACCATGTTGGAACTGATAGTATTTTATATTAAAGTATAATTTATTTTCTTAATGCTTTTAGGCACAATGACAATAAGACATTCCTTGTCTGGGTGAATGAGGAAGACCATCTTCGTGTCATCTCCATGCAGAAAGGAGGCAACATGAAGGAAGTCTTCAATCGCTTCTGCACTGGCCTCACAAAGGTGTGTTTTTGTTTTTACCGGTCACTTTCTGCAGCTCCAACGTTAGCAGATTTTTCAATCTTAATGCGCTCATCTTGCAGATTGAGGAATTGTTCAAAGAGAAGGGCCATGAGTTCATGTGGAACGAGCATTTGGGCTACGTCCTAACCTGCCCCTCCAACCTGGGCACAGGGTTGCGTGGTGGCGTTCATGTCAAACTTCCCAACCTCAGTAAGCATGAGAAATTCGGTGAGGTCCTCAAGCGACTGAGGCTCCAAAAGCGCGGAACAGGTATATATTATTCACCTGAGCCATTCAATCCTGTATTACCTGTATAGAATGTCATGTTTAATACTAACCTTGGTCTCTTCAACAGGTGGTGTGGACACAGCTGCAGTAGGTGGTGTCTTTGACATCTCCAACGCTGACCGTTTGGGCTTCTCTGAGGTTGAGTTGGTTCAGATGGTGGTGGATGGAGTTAAGCTGCTTGTAGACATGGAGAAACGCCTGGAGGCAGGCCAGTCGATCGATGACCTCATGCCTGAGCAGAAGTGAACAGTTCGTGACTCCTAATTTAACTCCTTCCCTGTCTCCACCAGTCCTCCCTTCCTCCAGTACCAATAATCTTAACCACATCAAGGAACATACACTCCACCCAAACGGTAGTGGCACTAAAGTTAGACGAGTCTTCCATCAGTGTGAAGGATTTTGTATCTCAAACGTTCTGCAATGTTGAAGATGGAGTTTAACACCAGAAATAAAAGTCTCTTTGGCCCATGGAGTTTCTTGTGTGCATGTTATTGCTTAAACTATTTGTTTGCTGTAATTTCATGGAATCATATCAGTTTATTTTCCTCTTCTGCGTTTGTCCTGTTGCCAGAATCAAATACCTCATTTGCTGTTAAATGATGCTTATTTTGTATTTACAGTTATTGAACTGTAAAGGTGTCATGGTGTGCTGTCTATATATGGGATACAATGGTTAACCCTGTGCTTGTAGACCATTTTCTAAGGGGACCAAATATGTCACAAGACTTTGTACTGATTTGCCCTAGTACTGACACCACAATCTCAAGAGGTATTTGTAATTTTAAGAGAATACTAGTTCTTATTGTATTTTATAATTCCAAAGAATTTAAGTCATTTAATTCGAATTTAAGAGGTTGTTTATGAATGCTTCTATCAAACCGGTCGTACACTGACACCTAGTGGCCAAAATAGGATGCACTCAAAAAAAAAATCAATATTTGGTTGCGCTTTGTTTTGAGTTCTAAAAAATTCGGAAACCATGAATAACCATTGTAACTAACTATTTTTCGCCCACATGTTACAGGTGTTTAGTCAACAATGTCATCATTATTTTAATAACGAATCATGATAGTTAACACATGGAAAGCCCGCCCAACAATCGTCAAACGCAGAGAAAAGTAACTCCCACGATGTGACAAAGCCAAAACCAGTCTTCAACCCGTTTATAACTATCTGAATCTCAGATAGTTGATTTTTTTTCGCTATTCGATTTAAAATGAATACACAGTGAAGAATTTTAACCGTATAACTATTTCGCCCCATTGTACCTGACTAATTAAAGACAACATCCGGGCCCACAGAATAAATGTTATCTATATTGCTCAGTCATAGTTGCTCAAATTCTACAACATTATGTTGATGAATAGTGACTGGTTTCAAATCTGGACTATTCCCCCCAAAAAAACTGTCACGAAAGTAAATTGATCTTTACTCTAAAATAACTGACACGGTTTATAATACTTTCTCTAGGATTTTCTAGGAAAGAAGAAAGATTTTCAATATGAACCTTTATGAAAAGTACCTACCATGTGTTAATACTCACATACTGTGAGATATGGAGTGTGGCCCGAGTGCTGGGCTTTATTTGATGTACCCCAAAGGGAGTGCTTTGCTTTTAATTAAAGAACTTCTCACATTTCTCTGCAATATATTCATTCCATCAGGTGTCATTGATTCTAGCAACCTGCAAATACATTGATCAAGCAAAAACACAGAGACTGAGCATAACACAAGGTGACATGATTTCTTGCTAAGACTCATTTCTTTGTATTTGTGCACATGTATAGAACACAAGGTGCGAGTCACTGTATTTCACAGAAGCCCACACGGGCAGTTTAGTCTAACAGCATTGAGTCAAGCATGTCTCTTCTCCCATCCTCACAGTATTTACAAGGTTAAACTCCACAATAAAGCTCTTCACTGCCTCAGCGGCAGAATATAAAAATCACATGATTAAAAACAGGAGTGTAGTGTAATGGAATGGGATGGTATAATATAAAGCAACATTTAAAAAAAAATAAAATGTGTAAAATAAATGTAAATGCACAGAACAATTTCAGCTTATTCAAGCAAGCTGTCGCACTCCAGCAAATCCTGACAAGATCATATACAGGGTTTCTGCAGGTATCTTCAAATGAAATTTAATGCCTTTTTAATGCCTTTTTAATGCCATTTAAAAAAAAATAATGCCATACACGACCCATGACTAACCACGGATATATATATATATATATATTAGGGGTGTAACGGTACACACAAATCACGGTTCGGTACGTACCTCGGTTTTAAAGTCACGGTTTGGTACATTTTCGATACAGCAAAAAGAAAGAAATGCCAGAGAAATTTCCTATTTGTTTAAAGAAAAAATATTTTTAAATAAGTGTGAGTTTTCCTAGATCTTGAAACTTTCAGGTTTATAAATGGGGGTCATCTTTGAAGGATGAACAAATAATGTTTTGGTCATCACGTTAAAAATAACATTTAAATATATATTTATTTATATAATATTTGAATTTTGAAGTGCTGGAAAAAGATGTGTGAAGTACTTGAAAGCATTTCACCATTCTAGCCAAACTGGTTCCGGTTAGTGTTACTATATTAAATCCATGGTGAATGTTGCTAGCCTGGCTGCGCCCGCCTACGCACTTCCGCTCAATTTCATTTTCCTTCAGTACTGCGTCTGGGACCGCTCCATATCCAGGTTTCCAGAAATCAATTTTTTGTAGGACCAATCAGCGAATAGAGGGAGTGGCTGAGAACGATGACGTTGATGTAGTGCGTCAGTTTGAGTGCAGTAATGGCAGCGGAGAAAGACGTGAGAAAAGCTATTCGGTCCGTTGTTGGAAAAGAAACTGCCGAATATACAGAATATAAAGCCGGATTGTTGTCGTCTCACCTCTTGTTGCACAACGGAGGACCAAGTGAAGGAGGCAGAAAGGTTGGAAGTTTGTGCTGGGCAGCTCGTGCACAATGACCGTGACATTTTGGACTTTAGCCTGGTGTTCGCGGTGTTCGGAAGCCCCGAGTCCTGGCTGCTAAACTATTGTTGAAGATCCGCTCAGGAGTCATGTCAGTCGCTCAGATTTCCAACAGTAAATTTACTGATTCTTGTGATGAATAGAACATTTTGAGCTCCTTTGTGCACTCGTACAGGAGGTTGGTGTGTCAGTTTTACATGTTGTAAATCATACAAATTGGTTGTGATTTAAAAAAAAAAAATGTCATAAATAAAAATTTGAAAACCCATACTTTGGAGACTATATTTGATTTTCAGTTTTAGATGTCAATGGTTAATTTGTTTTAATAAAAAAAACAACTAAATGCCATATAAAAATGTACAAACACATACTTTGAAGACCATAATTAAGGTAATTAAGAAACAAAAATACGTAATATGAAAAATTGTTGTTTATTACACATCTGCAGACAGACTGATCATTCACTGTAACTTACAGCATTGACTGAATAATCACTGTCCTTCATGTCAAATATACATTTCGAATTAATAATTGTTCCTAGATTAACAAAACCTGCAGCTCTCGTTGACTGAAATCCTATTGTAAATTTAATCCTCTGATCATTCGGAGTTCGGACTTGTTGTTTCTTTTACTGTCTATGGTTGTTCCAGCCGTTTCGGCGCATGACATACGTCACTCACGACCACACATTAGCGATTGGCTATGGCAGATCGTGAGTGACTCTGGGCAGATCCAATAGATTTGAACTTTAATAGTGAACCCGCCTACAAGGAAGGAAACGTTTCTCAATTGAGGGAGGCCAGACTCTCTGTACAAATGAAATGTATGTACGAGAGTCTGGTAGAACCAGGCTAGAATGTTGCTGGTCTGTGGACGTAAAGTACTAGTTCATTCACGGCACAATGTTTCTCCTGGTTTCCATGACAGCGCTGTTTGATCTAATAGAGATCTACGGTTAATAACGGAGAAATGTGAACGCTTCTCACTAGATCTCGCAGCGATGTTATTACCTCAGTGGCGAATTCAAATGTTTTCTTTACCGGATCTCTTAGCGCTGTGAAGTAACAGTGTTGCTTGATCGAGATCGGCTCGCGCTGCATAGATGTTGCTGGTCCGAACTGATAAACGATCCGTGAAGCACATAACGAGTAGCGCAGTTTCGTTCTGCTTTCATTACGCCTGCCATTTGATGTTGCGCAACGTTGTGTTGGCCGCGTCAGCACGAATTTTGCTGGCAGGAAAAATGGTCCAAGCAATCGTTCGGTTTGTATGCGTACCGAACCGGAAGCCTAAAATACAAATTATTAATTATGAAGGCTATATTCAAATAAATTTGTATAAAATTCTCTTCAAAACTATAAAAAAAAATTAATGCCTGTAAGAATCAAATTTAATGCTTTTTAATGCCTTTTAAGGCCTTAATTTTCGCAAAATCCATTTAATGACTTTTAATGCTTTTTAATGCCCCGCGGAAACCCTGATATAGTGTCAGTACCTGTAGGCTAAATACTGATTGATAATGATGGTTCATCTCAATCTCACACTTCACACACTCCAAATGCTGTGAAAAACTCTTCTCTGAACTTCAAACTTCTGTAGGATGCTCACTGCAGTGAAAAACGAAAAAAATCTCACTTACAGCATACATAAATCCCATTCACCCTCACTCTTATGCACCTTTATGAATCAAATACATGCCTATCAGTATATGGGCTTTTTCAGTCATAGATCAGAATAATCCTTCTATGCAAACTAAGTATATTTTGTTCTCTGCTCTCTTCCAGTCAATACACTCGTTTTGTAGATGAGCTATAAAATCCACGCACAAGTCCTTTGTTTTAAACATATATAACATATCAGCTCTCATTCATCCAGTTCAATTAGAAGTACTCAAAATCTCACTTTGACAAAGAGCACTGCCTGCCCAGGTCCTTTCAGCAAAGCAACTACACATAAAGGAAAGCTCTTGTCAAAGAGATTAGTGCTTGATCCCCAAGGTGTGATGTACAGCTATTTTACATGGATACAAGAAACCGTGAGAGGAGTGGAGGGGGCAGACCGAGAAACCTGAGGCTGCTTGTTTGGCCTGGAGTTGGCTGGAAAGTGTGTTTGTGGGTAGTGGGGTTGATTGTGCCTCCCGGTTCAGGGTTTAGCAGCTTCACCCCTTCTGTCGTCCAAGTGGCACATACAGGCGAAAGATGGAGGCTCAACACCTCGAGACATCAGTCCAGTCAGTCACCCAGAAGCTTACGCCAGAGACCTCTGACGTGGCTTTATTCTGGGGTACAGCTACAGAGAAACAAAGAAACACATAACCGGTCATTTCATAATATACACAACGGTTAAAAAGGTGGATTTGGAAAGAAATGAATACATTATTCAGCATTTGATCAAATTAATCTTTCAATTGCTTTAAAATGTGGTGTGCCACAATCAATACACACTAACGCAAAGCACAGCCTGTGTGCACCTACCCCCAATAGGTTACGTGGCACATAGCCCTCTTTGTCGTTGAGTTTACTCCACCACCAGTCTGTCTCAGTATCGTCCTTTCTGCGCAGGACAGTAATGGCGTCTCCCTCCTGAAAGGAAAGCTCATCTGCGCTTTGAGCCTCATAGTCCCACAGAGCGTACACGACTCCTTTATTCATCACGCCCAACTTCTCCTGCACGCCTGTAAACACAGAGAGAAAGCTCTTAATACGGTGTGTAAGCGTATCATGCAGTACAATATTACAGCATTACCTTCAGCACCCCAGAAAAAAAAATAGGTTACACCTAATTATATTCGTGAGGATTGAGTAATATTATTATTTTAAAAAATGTGTTAGTAAGATGTTCTCATGCTCTCTACTGCAATTTAAAATGACTTTTTTATATTTTAAAAATGAAATTTATTTCTGATGTCAAAGCTAAATTTTGAGCATCATTACTCCAGTCTTTAGTGTCACATGATCCATCAGAAATCATTCTAATCATTCTCAAGAAACATTTCTTATCATTATCGGTGTTGAAAACGGTTGTGCTGCTTAATATTTTTAAGAAAAAGTTTGTGAAACACGGATAATTTATTTCAGTTTTCAGGATTCATAAGTGGAATTAATGAAAGTACTCACAAATGACTCACTATTAATTAAAAAAAAAATCTTACTGACCCCAAACTTTTGAATGATAGCATTTGGAGCAGTTCCACACAATGGGTCTCATTCATGAAACATTCGTAAATATACGAGTAAATATGAGAGTGATTTGCGCGAAAAGAGAACTTCCCGAAAACTCTTCTTCTGATTCACAAATACTTTGTAAACATCAGATGTGATAGTGAAATGTGTATGTGTGTTAATGAATTCCAACCAGTCGTAAATGGGATGCGTGTGCACGTTCATTCTCAGTTATACCAGAAATCAGGTCTGTTATATCCGACTGACATCTATATGCATATAATAACAACAATGCGAATGAAAAACAAAGATTTCTCGGATGCAGAAATTGAAGTTTTATTATCACAAGTTCATTCAAAACGCCACATTTTATTTTCAAGCGTACATAGTGGCGTATCAGGTCCTAAAAAAGGAAGCTTGGCAGCATATTACTTGATGCAGTTAATGGAGTTTCATCCATCAATCGAACAGTCCCAGAAGTGAGAAGAAAATGGTTCGACATTAAGCTTGACAGCAAAAAACCAATTAGTTCAGTTCGTAAAAATCATATTCAAACTGGAGAAGGACCGCCATCGATCACCAGATTTGCTATTACTGGCTCTCACAATAAAAGTAAAAAGAAAAACCGTATGTAATTACTATATAAATTTTACTGTATAAATTACGCATGGCTGGAGCAGGTGTAGATTTCTTGAGTACCAACTAACATTTGGAAAATACGAACATTTTAATGAATCCAAAAATTTATGCCAGAACCACTTTACACACAAATTCGTTCTGCTCGTGTTTCACGAATGAGACCCAATAAGCGACTTCTCACATTAATCAGTGAATGATCAGTGAATAATTTTGTACAGCGACTGGTTCCCTTCCTTCAAAGCACTCTAAACTCTGTACGCCGAGGACATCTGCTGGTTAAAGGCTTGTAAATGCAATGAGAATACAGCAAAAATATGTTTAATGACACCGTCTACAAAACAAATCTATAATATCAGTAAATATTAAAGAGAAATGATCTGCTTTTATTCATTTGTAGCACTTAAAGTGTGTTTATTTATTCAAATTAAAAGTCACTCAGTGACTTTCATACATTGAGACTTACAAACATTTTGTTGATAAATTTGTACAATCTAAAACGCACAAATGGATTGTTTGGTTAATTAAAAAAAAACATATTTTCTTAACTGCCTTTACTTTAGTTATCAAATCTGATGGTGTGAGAGAAGGCCAAATACTGTAGTAATTCTCTGGAGAGGAAAAGAAAGATGCTCTTACCATAGAGAAACTGCGAGCACTGTATGAAACCCTCCTCCATCTCCTCACATTTGTCTGCAGCCGTCTCCACATCACTGATGGTGGTGGCAAAGATGGCAGCACCAGACTCTACCAGCAGCTTACACAGGTGCACGCTGTTACAGGAGGCGGCACAATGCAAGGGCGTCCTACACACACACGCGCACGCACATCAGTGAGTCTGTCTATTCCACATCTGTTAGCTTTTATTGACTGATCAATCTCTTTCACACTGACAGACCCAACAATGTGTCCTCTATTTGTGTGTCCCCCAAAATATGGGGATAATTATGTTTACAAAACCTCATCCAAAGCAGTGTTTGGGTGGGTGACAGAATTATGGAAATAAACTGTTAATACTGGTGCTCAGATCTAGCCTGAAGGCTATATGAAAATGTTGGTGGGTTTGTCGTCTATCTCTCACTTTAGTACCTGGTGTGCTTTAATGGTCAGATCCATCTGTTAAAGCGGTGGTTGATTATGATTTCACTTTTCTAACTTTAGTTAGTGTGTAATGTTGCTGTTTGCAACTCCCATCCCTTTACCTCTCTACAGAAATACGCATGTGTGCGCCATCAGCGTTCTCAAAGGTTCACGTTTTTGAAGTTTGCGTAGAGAGTGTTGTGTTAGTGACCCCTAAGTTAATAACTAATGATCTTTGCAACAAAGGTGAATCGATCAAAGCTGACTTTAGCAGGAGATTAACTTTATTCTGGAGCTGCTGTAGAACCAGAACAATCTCTTTTACTTAAATTCCCTATTGTCACTGTAAAGCCGCTTTGGAACAATCTGTTAAAAGCGCTATATAAATGAAGATGACTTGACTTGACTCACCAGCCATCACTGTCTGCAGCATTCACATTAACACCAAAGTCCAGCAGGAACTTGACGATGTGGTGGTGCCCAGCGCACACAGAGTTATGAAGGGGTGTGATGCCCTCATCATTAGGGGTGCTGGGATTGACAACCTAAGAAATTTGAAGAATAAAATAGAAATTGGTTAATAAAAATCAATCTTTGTCTGCAAGATTTGTTCACTACGCCACATGGTATGCATTAATATACATACCTCATAGATTATCCTTTGTACGAGGTCAAACTCGCCCTCCAGTGAGGCATCCAGCAGCAGGGCGAGTGGGTTGAACTTCACTCTAAGGCCGTGACCTGTCCGCTCTGAGTCGGGCTTTTTTAGGTTAGTGCGTTTGCCCTGTGGAGGACATGGACCGTTATTTAGGCTTTGTTCGTACAGCACTCAACTTCATTTGTTTTTTAAATCTGATCTTTAGGACTGACTGTCTGTACTGTTGCAAGCGATTTAATCTGATGGGTTTGTACAAATCAAATCAGCCAAGTCATTATCTGGTGCAGCAATATCAGCGGCTATAGTAGTGATATAAACATTAACAAGGTCAACAAGACGAGACTTTCAGCGTTTGAAAGTAGCTGTCAGTGTGAGAAGAGGGGATGGAAACAGGAAATTTGCATCTGCTCGTGTATGACATACCTCTCAAGGCATTTGAGAACATAAGTAAGATTTCATATATTCATATGGCTGTAGAATTGAGTGTATTCAGACATAATGTTGCACATAGATTTTTCTATCATTCTAATATGCAGATTTGTTGAATGTTGGAAAACCGTTTTGCTACTTAATATTTTTTCTAGCAATACTCAGGATTAATAGAAAGCTTGAAAGAACGACATTTATTTAAAACATAAATCTTTTGTTATATTATACACTTCTGATTCATTTAATAGATCCTTGCAGAATAAAGAAATTATTTTCTTAAAAAAAAAAAAAAGTGTTACTGACCCTAAACTATTGAATGGCGTTTACCAAAATGCCAAAAAACTATTCAGTATGACTGAAAAAGTACATTTTAAAATATGCTAATTTAATCAGATACTTTATTCTGTTTTTTAATAAATGCCGGATGTAGTCCTACCTGCATTCTTCATGCTTAAAAATGGTAAAATATGTGACCATTTTTAAAAATAATTAATAAATTATAATAAATAATAGTAATAATTTAATTATAGCAAATGTATTGCAAATGTATTATTTAGATGGCATATTACAATACAAAAAAACTATATTATTGTATAATGGGTAATATTAAGATTTTAGACTGTATTTTAATATAAATATTCTTTAGATTATAATTATTTTATATGCAACAATTGTTTATGACTATTGTTATTATTAGTAACATATAAAATATGTATCAGTAAACCAACCGTGGGTTGGGATGAGGGTGAGGTGTCTGCTTCTTCAGGGGTGCTGGCCTCAGCTACAGGACTCGGCAAAACCACTACAGGTTCTGCAGGATTGTTGTTACTGTCTTCTGACGGTTCTGGTGCCGGAGGGGTCAGCTGCTCAACCGCTTGCTCTAGGGGCTCATTATCATTGGCGTCACCTTGCAGGACAACGTCCTCAACAACAGCACCCTCAGAAGGCATTTCTGAGGGTGGATTCCCGTTGTCTGCATCAAAGAGCATTTCACCGGTGGCAACGGAGGGCTGGTAGAATGGAGTCACTCCTCCACTTCCACTCACACCTCCCATTCCTCCCTCCATCCCTCCAGCTAGGGTGTTGAACCGCTGATAGAGAAGTTTCTGGATGTTGGGCCCATTGGGGCCCTCTGGCTCTGTAATCGAGCTGCGCTTCTTAAGCGGCCGTGGAGCATTGGCCAGTTTCTTGCGCAACACCTCCAGTTCAGCATCGCTCTGGTAGCGCATCGGGGAGTGCACCATTGGTGTGAGTTTAGTGGGGCTGAGAGGTCGTGGGATGTGGTCCACGCTGGGTGGGGGCGGCTCAGGAACACCCATCATTTGACCATCGAAGTCCAGCTCAAGATCCAACATGTCTCCTCCGGGACCCTGCAGGGCAGGAAAGGCCCCAGGGCCTCCGAAAAGTAAGGGGGAAGGGGGTGTAGAGCTGGGAGGCAGGACTGGCTTACCATATACTGCAGGTAAAAAAGAACAAAATATTCAGTTATACTGTACTCAGGAATTAAACACAAACACATAATCAAGAAATAAACCACATAATTCACAGAGGACATAATTCTTGAATCAATTTTGCACATTTTGTTTTTTTCTAAAATTACATCTTGACACCTGTGATGTTATTAGCTGTTTTTTTTTTCATTGAGGGAATTTTTGAAGCCAGTTGTGTAAAAGACACCTGCAATCTGTGCACTGCATCTATCTGTTTTTAAAAACAATAAGACGCATCCTGTGTGAAAATGGACTGTGTAAAAATACAGATTTGTTTTATTTTCATATTAATTATCCTGATTCATAGAATCCCAAGAGCAATATTTTATTCTAAGCATATTGATTTATAGATAAACATAGCAGTATTCCTACATTTCTACTATACTTTTTCATGGGTGTTTATTATTATAAAGAGCTCATAAAATTTCATAATTTTAGATATTGATATAATAGGTTTACACACAAATTGCAATTTAAAGTTGACCCCAGTTAATATCTGCAGAGCGGTTTTTGGTTGTACTATTTTATCAATTCAAAATCAATAACTGCAGTTTTACAAAATTTATATATATATATATATATATATATATATATATATATATGAATAGAACATATTTAAAAATATTTTTTTAATATTCTTATATATATGTAATGTATATATATAATAAGAATATTAAAAAAAAAACTTTTTCGACTACATGCTGCTTTTTGTTTTGACAACGCATGTGGCGGTGCGACACCAGTGGCAGGTGTTACCAGATTGGGTTTTTTTTGCTACATATTAAGGCCTGTTTACAGTGTGTTTTAGCCGAGTTTAATAATCTGGAACCCTATTGAACGAAGTTACACTGAGAAAGTGTGCATTCGCAGACACCAGAATGAACGAGTTCAGGAAGTAATACAGTGTCCAGTTCACATTCACCCGTCTCGTTCAGGCACAACACTGCCGTATTAAACTGTTGAACTTCAATATCAAATGAGCTGCTGGTGTATACCTGCTTTGACTGCAGGTTTGATGTTCAGAGGGTAGTTCTTTGGGGCTGCTTGTTGTAGGTACATGTGGTAGATGGAGCTGGAGTTCATGGTGGCTGGGCCCTTTCTGGGTGACTGCGGTCTGGAGCCCTTATCTGGGATGAACGGCCTTACCGCAACAGCTAGAGGAGGGTCTGGTCTCTCCCCGGGGGGGAAAAAGGGTGGACTGGGCTGGAAGGTGGGACTGGGGGGTACGGAAATGCGCTGCTGGATCTGCTGAGATGACGAGCCGGAGGGTGTAGGGGGGACACGGGGCCAGGCCGGCAGCGGCGGGGGGTTGCTGGGTAGGCTGGGCACTGGCCGGAGTGGAACGTCCTTGCGGCGATCCAAGGAGCTGGTAGAACCTGAGTTGGCAGATGAGAGGGGGTGGTTGCTGGTATGGGCTCCATATGGTGGAGGCTGGGGCTTGTTGAGAGGAGGACCTGAGCCCATTTTACTGGAATCCTGAATCTAAAGGTGAAAAAAAAAAAAAAAAAACAGGAAAACACTTTATTATGGCGAAATATAAGAGGGCAATTGTGTATGCTTGTGTTAGTTAGACGTACCTTATCTGCAGGAGTGCCTGCAGGTGATGCCGTTTTACTGCTCGTGTCTGTTCCAGACTCCTTCCAGTCAGGTGGCTTGACTGATGTGTTGCTCTTGTTGAGGGTGGGCCAACTGGCATCATTAGCTAGACAGGGAAAGAATGGGAGAATTAGAACAAGATCAGAAATGACAAAACCCCTCACAAGCATGTTTATGATTGCAGCAATATGACGCACTGCACTGCACTAATTAGACATGACTTCTAAAGTTGTCTAGGTATGTTCTTGAGTTAGAGGAGATATGAAGTGTAACAATCTTGCAGGTGGAAATGAAGTTTATATCCTTATATCTACAAGAACAGTTCAGATGACTCTAAATCGTAAGATAATGCTATTCTCCAAAGCCTGACTGCAAGATATCTTGACGATTTCGGGAAAACATGAAAGAGCTTAATGTGTGGTGTGCACATTTTGTGTGAAGTCAACAAGTTAGCTGAATGTTAGAGAATGATGAAATGGAACCAGTAATTTAGTGAGTTTAAATGTACTGAGGAAGAAGTAGAAAGCCCAGTGAACCTAGTCAGGGTGGAGCTTCTCATGCCAACACATACACTCTCACCCACGAGACCTCACACAATCTAATTACATTCTTGCACACACAATCATATACACACATACTCCCAAAAGGCAGGATCAGCAGCTTTTGACTCATATTGATCTGCAGTAAAGAGTACAGGGAATTTAATTAACCAGGGATCAGGATCTAGTGTATCATTAAGGTGCAATTGCTCAAGAAAAACCTATAATTTTGACTTTTCTCTTAAGCCACATTCTGTTTGGAAAATTGGAAATGTCTCTCTGCAATATTTTTTAAGTGGATACAAACTTAAGGCACATCTACTTAAAAAATAGTTAAATAGATAGTGGAGTCCAAAAGTCTGAGATCACTAGAAAAATGCTATTGACATTTTTTTTTAATCAATTTTTTACATTACCATTTAAAAATTTGGGATCAGTAAGATTTATTTGCTGTTGTTGTAAAAAATAGATTAATTTAGCAAAAGCATATTTGATCAAAAGTGCCTTAGTGAAGAGATTTTTAATGTTACACAAAACTTCTATTTTAAAAAAATTGCTGTTCTATTGAACTTCCCATTCATTAAAGAATCCTAAAGGACTTTCCATAAATATATAAAAATACTATCTTTTTTCAACATTAATAATGTATCTTGAGCACCAAAATATTAAATATATTAAAATGTTGCACTTTAAAATATATTAAAATAGAAAAGTCATTTTACATTGTAATAATATTTCCCAATATATAGTGTAACTGTTTTTACTGCATTTTTGATCAAATATATAAGCCTTGGATGACTTAGTATTTGATTAGTCTCTTTTGCTTTAATGACAACAGCACTTGAGCTGCGTCAAACTTGATAATCATGTTCTCCAGAATGATTTGAGATGATCCAAGGACCATCTTAAACTTCAGTGAATGCAAAAAAATCATACAGTATGTACAAAGGCATCACATGATCAATGACACTAATTTACTTATACAATCTGTAGTTGATTCTGCATTGAGACTCATGAGCCATATAGGGTAATGTAACGAGTCACGGAGACTTAGTCAACTGCTTTGATCCTGCTCACTACACTGAATAAGGTTCATAGGCCATTCCTCCTGACTTCCATCAGACACCTTCCCACTCACGAGAAGCGCTGTTCGACCCTGCCGCAGAGCAGGTGACTGAGGGTGGAGCCCCCGGGCCTGGGCGGGGCTCTGGAGGGGGCGGAGCAATCGGGTCCACTATGATGTCTAAATCAGAGACCTTCCAGGGGCTGGGAGGCTTTCTCACTCCATCTAACCCCCCCGCACAAATCCCACAACATCAAAGTACAGGGACAGCAAAGAGAAAAAAGAGACACACATACACGTATGCACAGCACAGAGCACAAAGGACACAAGAGGTTAGAAGTGAAGAAAATTAGAAATCAACTTCATAATAAAACAGTAATTGAAGAGAGCGAACCCACAGCAGGAAGCAATGGGATACATGCCGTGATCTTTAAGAGAAGAACCAAACCACTTGATTAACATTTACGTATTTGCAGATTGCAAATTACACTGCATTCAAGGTATACATTTAATTAGCTCATGCAGTTTCTGGGAATCAGACCCATGAGCTTGAGATTGTTAACTTCTTGGTCAACTGTGTGAGCTACAGAAATACTGCAGCACTTGACCAAACACATATATTTTGGTATGTACGCTAGGGTGTGCGGCTGTGCGCATTACATAAATTTCATCATTAGCATAGTATGTGCATATTGATTTTTCTAACCACACATTTTGCACTAATTAGATGGTCCACAAGGTGGCAACACTGGCCCAGGCCAGCGATTCACAGTAGAAAAAAGAAAAGGACAGGACAACAACGTGTCGAGCGTATGGAAGTAAAATAATGCCAAATGTTTTTGAAACATAAAGCCTGTTGAATTGCACTGCTTGAAAAAAAATACGCATTAGAGAAATGCATAAAAAATGCCTGTTGAGTATTTTAGGTTGAATATCAGTTTGACTTTTTTATGGACTATGGATTATAGAAAATTTACTAATTAAAATGTGTTTGAAATGTTTTGAATTTAAATACTCACAGTTTAAACATGCAATCATGCTTAATTCCAGGCCATTAAAAATGCAATGTGTTAAAATACAAGCAGGGTTCATGAAATGCATATTTTTTCAAGTAGTACAATTCAACAGGCTTTCTTTTCTTCAAAAGCATTTGTCATTACTTTACTTCCATACGAGCGTCTGTGTTCATTTAAGGGGTGGAATGGGTTATACTTTGAAAGGGTATGCATTTGTCTGTACGCATGTGGAAGACGTTCATTGCAAAAGCTGATGTATACTTTAGGCTATAGACACAAACAACTCTTACAAACCGACTGGCTGGCTGTTACATAGTCTGTCACAAAAGAAGTCATATTTAGGTTTTAAGTGGATAAAATTTAGGAAGAACTAGTTGGTGGATTTGCCAAAGTTTAAAAAGGGGTAATCAAATGTTTCAAAGTGTTTGCTTGAGGCACTTAGTAGGAAGTGAAGTAGAACTAGTTTTCTGAACTGTGTCTGTTAAAATAATTGTGTTTGAAAAATATGTTTTAAACATTCACAGAGACTGCATCATTATTTGAATAAACTTAAACGTGATGAGCACTTCTCTTAGCTGGAATAAGCTGCCTAGACTATATGCTGCTAATCAGAAGTCTTAGCCTGGGAAAACTATAGACAGTAAAATGGACACAGCGACCCCATTGATTTTAATGAAAAAAATTGAAGCCTGTTAAAAGCTGATAGCCTTTATGACAACCTGTATGTCTTCTAGAAGTTGTCTAGAGTGAAATCTGAATAATTCCCTTCCGAATCTCATAGAGACGGAGAGAGAGAGTATTAGCTGTCCATGAGCTAGCAGCAGGATCAACTTTATGACTCTATGGGCTTCTCCCTTGACTTTATCAAACTTTATGCCTCAATGTCCCCCCGACTGCCTGTGAGCTTCTCCTCCTGCGACGGAGAGTCAATTCATTAAAACGCAATTGTTAGCCTATTTTTTAAAAAAACTGCTTCAACTGGGCCATAACATAAGATACAAGGTAATGGAGCCTTTTATATATTGTCGTGTTTCTTTAGAAATAAATAATGGATAAATGGAGTCTTTGGACGCCTCAGATGTAAAGTTATTCGCTTCAACTTCCGGCTGATAGATTACCCCCTTAGTGAAAACCCAGACAACTTCTGGCAAAGATTGGTTTTAGGTCTATCCAATTGCGCCCAGAGGCATTTGATCTACGTCCGTTGGTGACGCCCCTTTGAAAACGATTTGTCTATGAAGCTTTGCAAGACCATAACTCAGTAAAAACTGACAATGGTCTTGTTTTAACCAAACTACAGAAGTCTGGATCTGCAAGACTAAATGTAGACCTAAATGCAGACTACCATCGATCAAAAGTGATCAAAGCGGTTTTATATTCAGCCCAATGAGACTAAAGAGTTTATGTATTACAAAATTACAAAACTGATTCACAATGTAGGATAAAGATAAACAGACATAAAGGGTACCATTTATTAGGCACCATTTAATTCCAAATAAATGTTTGCCATCATCATGCAGAAGTCAGTGTTTAAGGACTGACCTGATTTGGAGCGGGCATGGTTGGCTGGGGTGTTGACGCCCAGTGACTGAGGTTTGAGGGGTTCAGGAGGCACTACATAACCCTCCTGCCTGCCTGGCACTGGGACCTGGATGTAGGGTCCCACGGCAGCCACACGGCCGGTGTTTCCATGAGCAGACTGTGGAGAGGGAGGACCATTTACTCTATTCAGCTGCAGGAAGGGGAAAAAGGAAAAATGGGGCAAAAAGAGAAATGAGACGAGTTGAAATTCAAAAACATTTCTCTAGTACCAGATATACTCTCTGAACAACTCTGAACAAGCCTGCTAAACAAATGAAACTAAGAAGCATGAACGAATGATGCACTCTCATGGCCTTACAGGAAGATTTTCTTTTTGACGTGCCTCTGCTTTTCTCTTGTAGAGTCGATCTCTGAGCTCATTGATACGCTTGTCCATCAGAGTCACCTCCATGTTTCTCTTATTCAACAGCTCTTTCTGCTGCTGAAGTTTACTGTTCTGTTCCTGATTCAGCTTATTGCGGATCTGATGGGGGGGGGGGTTGATTAAAAAACAAATGATCAATATCATCACTGACAGAAATGATAAAGCAAACACTTTGTGTTAGTAACACAGACTAATCATCAAGCTAAAGCTATGGCTGATTTCGTTTTTATTAACAGAAAAATGTCAAATTCAACAATTTTGAATTTATAATTCAAAACACTGTACTATTTTTTGGTTTTAAATTTGATATATTTTGTGCATGTAATTCGAATGATTAATGATATAAATTAACACTCACATAATTTAAAATTTCAAATGACATTATTTCCAAACTCTTTTAACAGGGTTGCAAACCTCGTACACAATCAATAGAAAATTGACAAACAACCAATGACCAGATCAATTTAATCACTATCACTGACCAGGATATTCCTTTTTGGATATTTAAAAGCAAAAAATCGTACATATTGTACCTTTATATTCCAAAATGGAAAATCACCACAGCAAAATCTCTTAATTACAATAATGGCTAAACTGTGCCCATACCTGCAGCTCCTGGTAGAGTTTGCGGAGCTCCAGGGCAGCGTTGCCGGTGACCTGACCGCCGAGAGTCTGCAGGCCGTTCAGTTTGCCTCTCCTCAGGTCCTCCAGCTGCTGGCTGAGCTGATCCACCCTCGAGACGGCCGACTGCAGCTCTGCCTGCTTCTCCTGGAACAGCCCGCTGATGTGCTCGATCTCTGCGGCTAACAGAACACAGCAGAGTTATACACGACAACTTGCGTGCAAACACACAGACATGAATGAGCCGACATACTTTCTCCATTACTAGAGGATTATTATTTAATGTTCAATGAAAATATCATGTATGGCTGCACATGTTGTACAGGAGCTCATGCAAAATGCAAAACTAGCAGGCTGAATAGATATATTATATAAAGCAAAATTGAATTACGTTTTTACAACTTGTTAACCTTAAAGCAGCCTAAATGCTAGCACAGCATGAACAAAACATTCAAATGAGGCTTAAAAATACAGAAAAAAAAAGTTTCATAAATAGAAAATCTTCACCATGAACCTGCCATGATATACTGATAACAATCCACACAAATCGAATTTTATCTCCTCCAGCAGAGTGGACAATCCCATCTGGAGTTGCGTGTGTGGGAGAGTTGGCATTATGAAATTTCATTACAATTCACAGGCTATCGCAGTATGTGTATTTATGTGCTCGCAGTTGCAGTTGGAAGCTCGGTGCTCTCACACAACTTCTTGCATGAAGCAAGCTGGCTTAACACAAACCACATCATAAATCAGCAGTGACCAGTAACCTATCCACTCGGATGAATGCTTAAGTCAGTGATCCAGCAAGTACATACACAGGTTGCCATTAATGACTTTACTGTAGTCCACTTGGCCCCTCATGGCACGGATCTTCTTGAGTTTGGCTTCCTGACTCTCCACTCTCTCTTTCAGCCTCTGTAGTTTTTCGGTTTCAGACACAGCCTGCTGTTGCCGGCGCTCCTGCTGCTTCAGATAGCGCAACCGCTGCTCCTGCAGACACAATACATACGTGAGCATGCAAAAAAAAAAAAAAAAGGAGAAAAGGTAGGGAAAACATACTTGAAACAGTAACAGTAAATTATCAATGTACTGAACCACTCTACAACCATTACAGATGGGGTTTAATTAGCCTTACGACAGTAAAGCTTATTAGCGCAATGATCTGATTGTCTTTTTGCGCCTATAAGTTTTACTGTTATTCGCCATTTGTCTGTCAAACTTTCAGAACTGTTGTGACATACAAACGAAAACCAACCAGTAATCTGTTGTTCCAATGCCGAAACCAACCAGTAATCACGATAAATGAAAGAGTCGAATCAGACTCTATTGTAGTAGACTACATAAACAACTACACTTTCAATTTTTAAATGATAGTCCTAAAGGAAAATATCTCTATTTTTAAAAAAAGAAAAGGAAAAGTATTGTTTAAGCCCAGGGCATCTGCATGCCCTAACAGAGTAAAGTGCATTTAGGGGAACACCATACGATCGTGTCATTACATCACAAAACCGCACTTAAGCACGACGGACAACCTAGTAATTTACTGTGAGCGTCAAGAAAGGAGACGTTTGCTATTAAGAGCAATAGTAGTACCTATGGGAAAAGATGCTGATTACAAACCTAAATTTATTGAGTAACTAACAGAAAATAAAAACAACTAGGCTCTTTTTTTGTTGTTTTCTTTGTTTATCTGCAGGGAACACAAACAGATGCAGTAAAGTGGAAATATTGTCTCTGAGTGAGTGAGAAAACTAAAAATAGCACATGGTGGACTTTCAATGACTGGAGGCTCATAGTCAACAAAGCACATTGACTCACAGCAATAATAATCCAAACAGCTCTGAGATCAATGTTCTTGTTGGGTCTGATCCTGGAACAGTCTGTAAGGGTGACCAGTCATAGATTCCACAAATCACTCTTTGTTGAAAGTAGAAACTAAGCTATTTAGCGCTTGTGTGGATGAGAAATGCCTGCCACCGCATAAAGAGCATGCCAGAGTTGTTTGCTACATAATTGGCATTTTCGGTCTCGTCCAGTTTCCCGCCTCAGCCTGTGGTTGCCATGACTAACAACCCTATAATGGTCAGATAAGCCTGTTGTAATGACCTATAAATGGCACTGAGGAAAACAAAGATGAGCTCAGTAACTTAAAATATCTAATAACAACGGTGTTTATGATGCAGCTTAAGCTCTTTATTATCATTGTGAAAAGTTAAAGGTTTACCCAACCAGCACCAGTTTTGAATAATAACAGGGATACTCACATTAACACATAATTTTTTTTTTTTTTTCACAAAAAGATTTTTTATGGAGAGTGGGAAAAATATTTCGCATACATATTAGAACACTACGTGTTTCTTCATCTTTCCTAAGGTTATCTACTTGTTTTTAGACTATCTATAGTCTTTTTATTTTTCAGAATGAATAGTGGAAACTTTAGTTAAATTTCATTTAAACTAAATGGTTGTTGATTTAAAGGGACAGTTCACCCAAAAATGAAAGTTCTGTCATCATTTACTCACCCTTAAGTTGTTCCAAACATGTATGAATTTCTTTCTTCAGCTGAACTCAAAAGAAAATATTTTTAAAGAATGTATGTAAAAAGTTGACGGACCCCACTGACTTCAAAAGTATTTTTCTCCAACTATTCCTACTAATTCCTAAAGGGTTGGAACAAACTGAGGGTGAGTAAATGATGACAACTTTCATTTTTGAGTGTAAAGATTTTTGGCAAAAAAGAACTCTTTGTAATTCTACATTTTATCTGATAAATCAAGACAAAGCACTGGATTACACACGATACTCGATCACCTTTCACAAAGACATGTTGCTACTATTCAGCTGCTAGCTATTCAGAAATCGCACAACTGCAAGTTTGGTTCTAGGACAAATGTAGATCGATAAATAAAGAAAAGGCTAAAATAATTTGCCAATTTTGGTAAATCTGATTAAGGGGTAGATAAATTGATGCTTAATGTCCACAATATCAATAAAATCAAAATAGAAACAGTGACTTTTGTGTTTGTTTCAATAGCAAATGCTAAATGGAGAAAATATTTGCATCTACAACTGTAGTCAAATAAGTTAATCAATTTGCCAATATGTTAGTTACATCCTGCCAAAAATACAATTCACAGTGGGGTCCAAAAGTCAAAACCACTAGAGAAAATGCTTCTATTTTGCAACCATTTTTAATAATAAGATTAATAATAGTTACAAATTTGCTGACATTAGATGAACAACCTAGACATTAAAAACTAGGAAATTCTAAAATATACCTGAAAAATAACACCAAAGCATATGATAATACACCACACAGTGCCATCATTCAGAAAATGATATATATATATATATATATATATAAAAATCAAAATAGAAACGCTTTTTAATGTCAGTGAATTCATTTATGCCAATGTTTGATTTAGTTACAAATATTTCCTCCAGTTATTTTTTGCGTGTACACACAGATGAAAACAAAGATCTATGAAAAGATGCACATCAAAAGACACATCTGAGCGTATTACCTTAGCGACAAGCATCTGTTGCTGGGCCTCAATTTGCTGCTGCTGACGAGTGGCCATCTCCTGCAGCTCTGAGAGAGTGAGCTCCACACGAGGGTTTCCCACCTACACAGAGAGGGAGGAGGGGGGGATGGAGAGATAAAAAAAAAAAAGAGAGAGCGTGATGAAGGTAGACGACAATCAAAAAGGAGGGACAATCAGGCCAAAAAATATATATGCACAGAAACAAGGACACAAAGATGACTGTTTCTCACAGTCTTCTCTGGCAGTTATGCCTGTAGAATTAAACCAGACACAACAAGGGCTCACTGTAGTTGAACCTGGGTGTGAAATGACCTGTGGCCAAGTAAACACTATGAGTTTAATTATAGCATAAGCGCTATGTTGGCGTAGGCCTGCTAAGCTCATCGTGAAGAAAGATGGCGACGCTTTTAGCCGAAAGGGTCTAAAACAGGCCTGTGTCACAGATGTATCCCAGAATCCCACTCTCTGTCACTGCATTCTGGAAGATAAGAGCAACTGTCCGTCACTGTGGCTGTCGCCAAGGTGTCGCCATGGCAGCGGAGCAGAACCGCTGTGTAGCAAAGATTAAAGGCACCAAAATACACAGACGGCAATTGCCATGATAGACTGCCATTTGAAGCAATCAAGCAAATAATGCGAACATGGTGTAGTGTGGGATGACTTACATAAACCTGGAGCAGAACACCATTAACAGTCTGGTTCAGGCTGTGCAAAAATCGTCCCCTCAAGATTCAGATCTTCTATTGTCTGTTCCAATATAGCAATGCTTTCATTTCCTAAAAAGTCAACAGTCTGTTTTGTCTCTGGGCTGTTCTAAGCAAAAGCTATACAAGTGCACTCAGTGTTTTAGGTTGAAGCTGGGACAGTCATTAAGGTTATGTAAGGACTAGGCGCAATCAGGCATATCAGTTGATTTGATTGATTTGATTCGCAATCAGGCAAATCAAATGTTAGTTTAACATTTGATTTGCAACCTAGAAACTTAAATATTTTAAGTTTAAGTATTTTACACTACATTTTACACTTTTTTTCACCCAAAAATAAATAATAATAATAATAATAATTTCACAAAATTTTGTTTGTTTTTTAAAGATTTTTTAAATGTTTTTATTATTATTATTATTATTATTATTATTATGTTCACCCAGGCTGCATTTATCTAATAACAAATATAGTAAAATTGTGAAATATGCATTTATTTAATATGCATCTAAATGCATTATTCCTCTGTTGTCAAAGCGGAATTTTCAGCATAATTTCTCCAGTCTTTAGTCACATGATCCTTCAGAAATCATTTTATATGCTGATTTGGTGCTCAAGAAACATTTATTATTAATATCAATGTTTACAGTTGTGCAGCTAAATACTTCTGTGAAAACGTGATAATTTAAAAGTTAATTTATTTGAAATTTTTTATAAAATTATCAATTTTACTGTCTTTACTGTCACTTTTATTAAATCAAATGTCTTTGCTGAAAAATTTTAAATATATATATATATATATATATATATATATACACACACATTTTTGAATGGTAGTGTATGTTGATGCATACATTTTTGTCTTTCAAAACATTTATTACGTGAGAAATACCTTCTAACACTTTAAGGATGACAATCCATGCACTAGACATTTGCCATAACTGCCCAGCCCCTCAGCAACACAATGAAACAAAATGTCTCAGTTTAACATCTTACTGACATCTTTTTATCCAACAAAAGTTAAAAAACTTTTTTTGATAAAACTGGAATTTAATGCTGTTCAATGACGCATCAATGTGACAATCTATCAGCATTAATACTAACATTAACCCGACCGAGCGCACAAATATGCACAGCATGAGAAAGATACTATAGTGACGTGTGTGGCTTGGTTTTGCCAGGTCACCTATAGCCCATGGCTACTTCTATTCTTAGCCAAGTTAATACCATGATCTATATCTATAATTCATGGGTAGTATTTTTTTCCACTATGATGTGACTGTTAAATACTCGTGTCTCACATTTTTTTTTGTTTTTGTTTTTCTCTTCACTTTAAATCACTATGTTTGAAAACTGCAGGTTAAATCACCAGTATTGTTACAGCAACATATAATTATAAAATGGATTAAGATAACAGTGGTTTTAACAATGAGGTTAGAAAAAAAAAAATCCAGGAAAAAGACTGTTTAAACACAGTAACAACACTGACAACATACAAAAGGGATAGAACCAAAAGAGACATAACACCACATACAAACAAACAACATGGATAACAACAACAATAGTTCTAAATATGAATACACATCAAATGTACATAATGCACATATTATCAAATGATTTTAAAAAGTACACTACTGTTTAAAAGTTTGGGGGCAGTAAGATTTTTTTTAAAAAGATGATACATGTTTTTTTCGAACTTGCTAAATAACTATTTTCAAAATTATTATTTTAAACTGATTTCTGAAAGATCATATGACACTGAAGACTGGAGTAATGATGCAAAAAATAACATTTTAATATTAAAATAGTAGACCGTTATATAACTGTAAAACTACGTCACAATATTATACATTTCATTTAAAAGTGAGAAGCAAACAAATGTTGAACAAATATCAAATAGCTTGAATGGGTTACGGTGTCACTGGAAGCAGTGTCCAGTGTCCTGGGTTACTGTGTCCTTTGCAGTAATTACAAATTTAGCAAAGATTGTGCTCATGATCTGTCTCTATATGCCTATGTCACGAAAAAATTGAAGACTGGAAGTACGTCTTAGTAGGGATACGACTCCTCTGCTTAGCTTTTTACAATGGCGGAGTTCGATAGATACCACTGCACCAAATCTTCTATTGTTATACTCTAAAATAAATTAAACTCAAAGTTATATTATAAAGTATAAAGTAAGACTGGGCAGAGTTTGCAACATTGCCAATTTCACCAATTAGTATTGAGCTACAGGGATGATTTCACATCAGTTCATTTCTTTTCAGGGAATCAAACTGTCAGGACTGCTGGACACTAAGACCCCGTTTACACCTGGTATTAAAATGCGATCTGTATCCAGATAAGTTATCCGGATAATAAGTACTGATTCCATTTACACCTGGCCACATAAATGTGTTTTTGCAAAACGGATATAAATCCGATCTTCACCTCCTGCGTTATATGCAGATTTATTGGATTGCACGCCACCAAAAGCAACAGATCTGAGCGGCATTTTATTGATCATCAGCTAATTTCCAAATTAGAGACATCAATAAGAGAGAGTGGCAACAGGCCTGGTAAGATAATTTCGTTTCTTTACTTGAAGATGTGTTAACTTACTTGTGTGACTTACTTTCTATTTTATTTGCGATGTTTGCACGTTGAATAGACGCACAGCTGCTCATCTGCGGTGATGCGTGTCGCGTGTCGCATCTGACTAGGCTATAACATGACATATAGCCTATATAACACGCTCTCACTCGTTTATTTTTTAGCATTTTTGGGAGGAGTAAAATATACATATGTGGTTTCAACAACCAGATTGTGTTTACACCTAGTAAAGATCCGGACACAATGCGAGCCAGACTACCTCCAGATGTGGTCAGGCAGATCCGATCACGATCCGATCACAACGCGTTTACACCTTGCATTAACATGCGTTTTTTATTATCCGGATAACTTATCTGGATACAGATCGCATTTTAATACCAGGTGTAAACGGGGTCTAACAATCACTGCTAATACACACACAAACACACACACTTTGTCATTTCTGTGTGATGTTAATTCAGTTGATCTGAGGACCACTCAAGAATATCAGTTGGAAACGAGACCTGCCTTCCACAAACGGTTTCAAAATGCAAACTGCAAACGAAAGTGCAGCCCCGGAGAATATTAAAAGAAGGACCCTCATTTCTCCTTATTAACCTAACCCAAGACTTGCGGAGTGTTTCGTCCTTCGGGAAAGCTTGAAAGCATAAGTATGGCTGTGTACGTCGTGATGCAGAGCACCCGGTACACTACATCAACAGCTGCCATTGTTGTTAGAGCTCTAGCCGTTCGCTAGTAAGGTAAACGTTTCTATGGTAACAGCTAGTTGGACCAATCAGCAGACGTTGCTGCTACGCTTACGATTGTGGGTAGTATAGTTTTTCATATGATCATGGATAAAACATGTTTTTCTTTAAAACAAGGTTGATTTCATACAAACTTACAGCTTCTACAGGAGCAAAAATATTTGTTTCACAAACTCATAGCTTGTGTTCAGTCTACCTTGGATGGTTTAGACATTACGGCTGATAATCTAAATCCTTATCGAGAAATACTGTTGACCAGAAGTTCCGGAAGCAGGAAGTGTGACATAGGCCTATACAAAACTGTCCTTTCCATTGAACTAATGATTTGTGATTTCTAGAAAAGAAAAAAAAACAAACAAAGTGGCTTTTGCCTGGAGCCGAGGGCCCAATCGGGTCTGGATCAAATCAACTGTCATTTTAAATCAAAGTGAGAGATTGAACTTTTTCCCCCACTACTACCACTTTGCTAAAGAACCAAACAGGCTATATGTCAGATGCACCAAGCAGCATTACAAACACCGGTTATGCCTATAGTTCAAATGTGTCTGAAGACACCCGCACAGAAACAACATTTCAATACTTCAAATTATTATCTTTCAAAGCAACTTTGCTTCTCAACAAGAAAGCGCAACATCTTAGCTCAACACTTACCTCAGCTTCCCTCAGCACAAAATACTCATGACTTGACCAATAAATGACGCAGCTTTTCACGCAGTTCCCATAAACACGCGCTGCATGGCATATCTCCCAATTTCATTAAAGCTGAAATGATTGAACTCAGTTTGCAAGAGAGTGATACATGGCTTAAAGGCTAATTGTGTCATGCTCTGTTTACCCACACTGGCGACACTGTATGACCACATCATGTTGGTTGTAAAGAGCCTATTTCAATGTGGCGCAAGGAGCAACATACAACAGACTGATTCGATTATCCGTTTCTGAAGTGGTTCTGGAGAGAAAAAAAACAAAACTCCCCAGTCTCTTCGCGGAGGGAGCTCTCAACCGCCCGCCAGTCAGACTGCATGGCATGATCCTTTTTAC